GCAGATGTCACTTCTGGGATATATTTTTTGCCTTTCTGGGATATATTCCCAGGAGTGGTATTGCTGGGTCAAGTGGGAGCTCAATTTCTAATTTTTTGAGAATCATCCATACTGTTTTCCAAAAGGGCTGAACCAGTCGGCATTCCCACCAGCAGTGAAGGATGTTTTCTTTTTGTTTTGGCAAAACAAAAGTGGTGGTCAGGACTTATTTCTGACTCTGCATTTGGGGATTACTCCGGGTGAACTTGGGGAACTGTCTGAATGTTAGGAATTGTGCCCAGTTTGGCTGCATGCAATGCAAGTGCCATACCCACTGTACTATTGCTCTGGCTCCCATGTTAAATACAACATGGAATTGTATATTTATAAGAAATTTTATGTGATATACATCTGTTATAATATATGATAACATATATGACATCACATAATATAACATAATTATATATAATATAAAATATAGAATACATATATGGTAGATATTTAATAATACATCGTATATTTATATAATATAAATATATATATAGAGAGAAAGAGAGAATAGGTTGAGATTGTTTCGGCCCCAAGACCTCTAATCATTCGCTTCACCAGATAAAACTACATGGGTGGTTGTGGGAGAGCGCTAGCTATCCTGAGGGAAACTTCAGAGGGAACCAGCTACTAGATGGTTCCATTAGTCTTTCGTCCCTATACCCAGGTTGGACGACCAATTTGCACGTCAGAACCACTACGGACCTCCACCAGAGTTTCCTCTGGCTTCGCCCTGCCCAGGCATAGCTCACCATCTTTCGGGTCCTGGAGCGAAAGCACAGCGGGTAGGGCATTTGCCTTGCACACAGCCAACATGGATGACCGGAGTTCGATTCCTCTGCCCCTCTCAGAGAGCCCGGCAAGCTACCGAGAGTATCTTGCCCGCACGGCAGAGCCTGGCAAGCTTCCCGTGACGTATTCGATATGCCAGACACAGTAACAACAAAAGTCTCCAATAGAGATGTTACTGGGCCCACTCAAGCAAATCGATGAACAATGGGAGGACAGTGACAGTGACAGAGAGAGAGAGAGAGAGAGAGAGAGAGAGAGAGAGAGAGAGAGAGAGAGAGAGAGAGCGCACACTTGGACCACCGCCAGAGGTCACTTGTAATAGCAGAGGCAAGCAGTTATAAGCCCTGAGTACCACTGGGTGTGGCACAAGTTCTCTTCCCCCATCATTTTTCTGTTTTGTTTTTGAGACATACCAGGCAGTAGTTAGGACTTACTTTTGGCTCTGTGCTTAGAGGTGCTTGGGGGATCATATGTGGTACTAGGGATTAAACCAGAGTAATCTGTGTGCAAAGAAAGTGCCTTAAACAAGCCCTGTACTATTTCTCTATCCTGAGATTATCATTGTCTTATTTATCTAAGCCCTAAATTCTGTGTATTTAATCTTTCATCATTAGATATAATGTCACCTGTAGTTGTTTTTGTTCTATATTTTTGGTTTTTGGGCTACACCAGCAGTGCTCAGAGATCACTCCTGGCATGTTCAGGGGACTATATGAGGTACCAGGGATCAAACCCAGATTGGCCACCTGTAAGGTATGAGCCCTACCCCTGTAGACTATCACTCTGGTCCCACCTGTAGTTCTTCTTAGATGCTGTTTATCAAGTTGAGGAATTTTCCTTCTCTTATTTTTATGTTTATTTTATCATGGTCTTGAGCGATAGCACAGCAGGTAGAGCGTTTGCATTGCATGCAGCCGACCTGAGTTTGATTCCTCCGCTCCTCTCAGAGAGCCCGGCAAGCTACTGAGAGTATCTCGCCCGCACGGCAAAGCCTGGCAAGCTACCTGTGACATATTCGATATGCCAGAAACAGTAACAAGTCTCACAATTTGTTGTGAGACATTACTGGTGCCATTTCCATTCAGTTTGGGAAATTCTTAGCCATTATTTCTTTGATAACTTTGTCTTTCTCTTTGGCATACTCATTATACATGTGTTTCATTATGTCCCATATTTATCTAGAGGGAAGATAGTGAGAAAGTATATATCTGTGCTTGGGTCTACTGTAGCTCAGAACAATTGCAGTTTTGTTTATAGAGATTAATATTTGATAAGCATTTAGCAGTTTCTGCTAAAGTTTTTGTTACTTTGTTTTTAAATATTACTGGTCAGAATTTCAGTGCAAGTCTCATATGTGGTCTCTTATTAAAAAAATTTATAACATCATGGTTTACTTAGATGTTCCATAATACTGTCATTTCAGGCATTAAATATTCCAACACCAGTTCCACTACCAGTCCTATTACCAGTGTGCTCTTCCCTCCACCAGTGTCTCCAGTTGCCCATCCACCATCCCAGCCTGTCTTCCCTAACCTTTGCAGGCACAGTCAAATTTATTTCATATTGTTTGTTACAGTACAAAGGCAAATGAAATGATAAAATCTTTGGCTAATGAGAGTCAATTTATGATAATTTTTATCTCTCACAATGATGTTACTAAAGTCATTCTACTATGCTGGTTAGTTCTAGTTGAGCCTTTTGTGTTACTTCATGGGCTCATTGAGCTTGGTGAGCTTTATTTTTTTAAAACTTTTTTATTGAATTGCTGTGAGATAGACCCTTACAAAGCTATTGGGTTTCAGTCATACTTTATTCCAACACCCATCCTTCCACCAGTATACTTTTTCCAGCACCAGTGTCCCCTCCCATCACCCCCCATCTTCCACCCCCTGCCTGCCTCTGTGGCAGGTGCCTTTCTCTCTCTCTCTCTCTCTCTCTCTCTCTCTCTCTCTCTCTCTCTCTCCCCCCCCCCCTTTTGGGAATTGGTGGTCTTTTATGCAGTTTTCCAGTCACATTTGCTGTGACCCTACTGGGATGATAGTACTGTGAAATTTTTGAGGTGTCGCCACATGGACCAGAAACTATAGATCTGGAACAGTTTTGTGACTTAGCAGTTTGATGAGGTTCAGTTGTGGAGCTCGGGCATTTCTATGTCAGCCAAACCATTCTGCCCGGGAAGATTTGGCAGTATCATGTTCATTTGGAGATGTGACGTAGGGTTGTTTCTCTGCTGGCAAGATGGCCAAGATCTCTTGTTTGATTCTTTTATAGAGTCCTAAAAATTCGCTTTGACAGCTCACATTATTTTCTAGTTAATTCTTTGCCTCTCCTCTCCAGGGTGTTTGTTTTTATGGTCTCTGTAGTTTTTCTCCTTTGTTCTTTTCCACAGGTATGTTCTGTTGAACCTACATGTGGACTTAGCAAAACATCATTGACAGGACTGATTAAATTATGAAATCTCTCTCTCAACAGAGCTTTTCTTTATCTTGTGATTTGGTAACTTCTTACATTAACAGAACATTATTGCATTATTTCTCACACCTTCAGATCCATCGTTTCCCAACTTGTATCAGTCTGTTTTCTAATTGATTTATTTGTATCATGGTAATTGAACACACTTTTTTTTTCTTTTTGAGTCACATCCAGCGATGCTCAGGGGTTACTTCTCGCTCTGCACTCAGGAATTACTCCTGGCGGTGTTTGGGGGACCGTATGGGATGCTGAGAATCGAACCTGGGTTGGCCATGTGCAAGGCAAACGCCCTACCTACTGTGCTATCACTTCAGCCCCCACACTTTCTCATATAATATTCATTATTTACTTTAAAAATAGCTTTTATGGATTATTCTGATCCAGGATTTAGAATGAAACTGATGTATTAAAGTGTGATGCGGGTAATAAAGCATGGAAGTCATCTGTAAGCTTACTGGAAAAGCAAATGCTCAGCATAACTCTGACCAAACAAATCACAATGTCTGCATTTACTTAGCAAGGTCAGAGAATGAATTGAGTGCACAAAAGTTCCAGAAGCACTGTTCAAAGGAAGATAACAAATGAGAAGAGCTGTATTCTAAAGAACTCTCATGTTTAATGTAAACTTACACACCCTCCCCCCAACCCCCAAATGCCCATACAAGATATATGGAGGGCCAGAGAGAAAGTATAGCCGATAAGGTGCTTGCCTTGCAAGTGGCCAGTTCGGGTCCAATCCTCAGCACTACCTTTGGTCCCCTGAGCCAGCTAGGAGTGATCTCTGAGCTCAGGGTCAGGAAGAAGCCCTGAGTATAGCTGGGTATGACCCAAAAACTGGGGGAAAAAAGATATATGGAGACCAGAGCAAGTCAGGGAAGTATATATGGCATCTCTTTTGTGGAAGGAGGGTCTATAGAAGCTTTGTGATTCAAGGATTACAAGATGGCAGAATTCACTAAGTGGAACTGAGTGTATTAAGGACTGTATCAAGATAATTTGTGAAGATTTCTATTAGACACTGAAACATAGTCTTGACTTGAAATAGAATAGAGCACTTTCAGGTATGCCTTATTCCTATTCTAGACACTGATATATTTGCTAAGCTTTTGTTCTTTTCACTTAGAATGTACTGTTCATTTTTTTAAAATTTTGCTCTTTTGTACTCTGCAGACATGGCTTATTCTGACTTTAGAAGTACATTTATTATCACCCTCTTATGTTTATAATTTAATTGAAATTTCCTATAATTCTCTTGTTAACTTACATTTCTTTAGGGCAAGGACTATTGTTTTACTCGTCTTTGCCAAATTCTTTAATATTTAATAGCTGTCCTGGGCTGGAGCAATAGCATAGCAGGTAGGGCATTTGCCTTGCACGCGGCCAACCTGGGTTCGATTCGCCTGCTCCTCTCGGAGAGCCCGGCAAGCTGCCGAGAGTATCTTGCCTGTAGGACAAAGCCTGGCAAGCTACCTGTGACGTATTTGATATGCCAAGATGTTGCTGGGGCCCACTTGAGAAAATTGATGAATAATGGGAGTACAGTGCAGTGCTACGGTGCTTAATAGCTGTCCTAGTACATAGAGGTTTATATTCAGCAGATTCTAACTGAGGGAATAATGATTTGCTAGGATTGTTATGATCAATACTTGTTCTTTGTACATTTTCATCAAAGAAGGTTTGTACATGATATATTTTTGGTTTTCTTGCAGAATGAGAAGACTTTGGGACATTCCACAAGTCATTCAAGTAACATTTCTAAGGTAGAGTTTCACTTTATTGTTGTTTTTCACTCCTAGGCCTTGCTTCTCTGTATTTTGTTCTTTCAATATACGATTGTTTTTGGCATTTAATTTTTTTATTTAATTTTTATTTTTTCCCACTTTAAACACTGTGGTTTACAAGGTTGTTCATTAAAATTTATTACAGGCATTCAGTATTCCAACATTAATCCCACCAACACTGTGACCTTTTCTCCACCACTGTCTCCAGTTTCCCAACCACCCCGTAAACCTGCCTACAATAATTTATTGCAGGCCTACAATAATTTATTTTATATTACTTGTTACCACTAATTGGCTAGTGGAATGATAAAAAATACTTCAGTAAGAGAAATTTGTGAAAATTGTTGTCTCACCATGAAGATAATAAATCTTTGTCTAAGGATTTACCTAGCTCTTGTTGAAGATTAAGCCTTTTTTGTTAATGTTTTCATTAGTCAAGATTACTTGGCTTCTACATTACATTCTCATCCAATCTGGTGCATTACTACTGGGATGTTAGTATTGTAGAGTTTAGAGATGGCACTACAGAATATTTAATTGGGCTGTCCAGCCGGAGGCAGAGCAGCAGCTGTTGGGGTGTTAGTGTGGCTGACTGGCTTTGATAGGGTGGGAACTTGGCCTGCTACTCTTCCAAGATTGCCTCTGAGGTCTCAGCCAGGACTGGGTATCCAAGAATTTTTTGCAGTTTGTTGATCTCTTTTGAGATATATTTATGAGTCTCTGGAACAAGGCCAGTAGGTGATCTTACATGGCAGTGGCAATGGGACATGAGTGTGGCTGCTGGGGTTCCCCAAAGTATAGAGAGGTATGGGAAGTTGCTCATCCCAACTCTGAGAAGGTCTGAAGTTTTCAGCCCCAAACCCCTAGGTACCAGAAAATTTTGCCAGGTTAGTATCTCTGTGCAGCTAATATATGATTTTTGAATGTTTCTTTAATCTGTCTTGGAACCAGTACAGTGAGGTACAAGGCTGTTGTGCTGGGTTATGTGTTTGTCAGGGGAGAAGTGACTAATGGGAGAAAAACCCATTTCTTTTGGTAGAAATCATTTCATATTAAAGAAATCTGAGTCTCCTGAATGCCTGTCACCTTAATTAGGAATTCACTTCCAGTGGTAGTGACAAACAATGTAGCTGTATGATAGCATAATTACAGATTTCTATGTCTCCAGTGATATCTTGGAGATAGGAGTCCCAAGGCTGATGCAGTTGCTCAGATGTTTCTAGAGATCAAGGCATTTTGTTTCCTCTCTGGCATACCTTCCTTAGCATGTTGTCATCTTCTTCCTTAGCCCCTCATAGTCTCAGATAGGAGTTGGACTTTCAGGTAGGAAAGTCCTGTGGCCTTGGCAGGAAAATAGTGGCAAAGAATAAGGGAAGGCAAGAACTTTCACAGAAGCTGCCTGACTTCTTTTTGCCTCTTACTGGTGTACATTAAATCTGAAGATCACCTCCAACTGGATGGTGTCTGAGAGGAAGAGAAACCTGGAAAAGCAAACTCCAAGAAAGTGATGAGTGTTGGCCATCCAGTAGCCTGGAATAGGCACTGGAGAAACCTGCCAGAAAGCATGTCATATACTAGAACTGCGCAGCAGCTCTAAGTGCCTTACTATAGTTAGCTTACTCCCCGGGACTACTTCCCTCAACCCTTGTCCATTCAGATATATCCATACTGGCTCCTTGCAGAGATAGAGCTCCCAGTCTATCAGCCAGTGTCATACAGATTCTGATAGAGAGATGCAACTAATATAACAAAATCTGCCCTGCTGCTTTGACTTCCTAAATAATCAGAAATAATAGTCTATATGCCATTTCAATTTACAAACTACTGGGAAACACCCATTAGGGCTCAGCATTGTGGTTCTAGCATTACATTCAAGACCTGCCACCATTTGAGCTATCTCCTTGGCACCCACAGGTACTTTCAAAGACCAATGAAGGTTTGCTACCTGTTGGATCAGAAAGTCAAATATTGGCACACCTTTGACTAGAAGGGAAAGACCTTTATTGCATTCCAGAGTTCAACAGGGGCAATAACAATGCTAAAATCTACCTCCCTACCCCGTTGTCTACAAAGAGGGGCTTGAAACTTCTGTTTTATCTGTTGCTTGACAAGTGGGAGGTGGGCTTCAGGACTAACAGAACAATATACATTGCCTCCTAAAATAAAAGAATCAGTAACAGTTCTTATATTATTCTTCTTGTTTTTGAGAAACTGGGGGAAGGGAGTGGGAATTTCTGCTTCTTGTTTCTTCCTGATAGTTACATTATAAATTTTTAACCTTACCATTTTACCACTGTCAGGTAGCCTTGTTTCACTGTCACTACTTACTTGACACTGTACTTGCTACCCTGTCACTGTCACTACAGTGTCACTATACACTACTTACTTATGACAAGGGCTGTATAGTAGGATGTGAGGAATTTATAGTACTGGGGAAAATTTTTTAGGACATTGAATAGAATTGAGGTGCCACATTTGATAAGTGGGAAAATAAGTCCTAGAATACTAAGAATTATTACTGTTATAGTTATTATGAGAAACGTAATTTGGCTTCTCAAAGAAACATGATTTGGCTTCTCAAAAAGTACAGAAAGGTAGAAAATTATTATAACTACAAGGCAAAAGATTACTAAAACTAGAGGTAGAATTTTTTCCATTATCTTGAAAGAGCAATTTTAAATCTGTTAGTAGCTCACAAAAATATTTGGTAAAGTTTAAGCTATAGTTGTCCACCCATATTGGAACGTTCAGGAATATTTGATAGTAAGGTCAGTAAGATCTCAGAGAATCCTGTAGTGGAAGAGCAGTTTGACTGGAATATGATGGATCCATGGCTACATTTCCTACATGTCTTATTTATGAATAGTGGGTAGCCAAGAGTACCTGGTAGGACCCAATCCAGTTTGAGTGAAGTTGATTTTCTGAGTAGCATTCTCTTTATCTAAATTTGAGTTCCAGATTTAAGTTCAGGGTGGCATTCTCATTTTCCAAATTTCCCAGATACCAAGGAAGGGTATATCCATGGGAAAAAAGAAATTGCTACAAGCAAATAGCTTTACAAATAGCTGTTAAGGTTGCCCCTTAAAGATGGTACACACTAAACAGAAAAAAAGATCTCAACATATTCTCATTTTGTAAACTGTACATTAATTCAGAATTAGGTTGTGTAACATTTTAAAAAATCTGAATTAAAGCCACTTCTAGGAGCCACACTTACCCTAAGTAAGGCAGTTGCGTTTTTGCCCCAAGCCAGGGTAGTATCTTTACGTATTTTAGCTAGGGTATGGTTTATTTTTTACTACTTTATTGAAGACATGCAATTTCCATTGAATTTTTAAGGCTCCTGATATTTTAGCAACAAAGAAACCTCTGGTATCACTGTAGAGGATAAGGCAGTCTGCATCTAGACATGTTATTCTTTAATATCCTTTAATAACATTTCACTTCAACCTGTTTTTTATGGATTGCCACCTGGCGAGATAGTGACAAACACCAAGAAATACCTACAGTCTTCTGTATCCAGAGGCATGACAATTAATTTCATTTGTTCCTCATCTTCAAGGTTGTAGCTGCAAGCTTGTGTTTCTTTGATGGTAAGTGGGAATCCTGCCTTAGGGTTATTTATAAGACCTGTCAGTCACTTCCCTGTGACCTTTGAGCTCTTGGCTACATAATGGGACTAAGGAAGCAGTTCTACTTTCATTGAAGGGTGGCACTCTGATTTGATATATATGGGTACTTTGATATATATAGTTAAATATTTATTCATCAGTCACATACAAGAGCACTAGAATTTTTCTATCCTTATTGCATATCCACCTCATTTTAGAGGTCATATATTGGAAGTTCTGTGAGTAAGCTGGATCAATATCAAATATTCATTCTTGTGCTCTTGATGTGCATTTGGTTTAAAAGAAGAGAAGTTGGCACCAAAATGAAAAGCTGAGTTTTGTGGCTGAGTTTAGTTTATGGATAAGCTTTTTTGACTGCCTTTTCAGCCAGGTTTTTGCTTTCAGTCTGACTTTTGATCTTCTATCTAGGTCAGTGAGTCATAGCTACCTCTATTTTATCCATAATGACATCCAACAAGGTGAAATTTCCTTAATATGAGGTTAGCAAGTCTCTCTTTCCATGCAGCTCCATGAGTATGTATAATCATGAAAGTCTAAAAGTTTATATAGATAATAACTTTACTGTTTTCCAGATATGAGGCTTTTGTGAGAGCTGTGAGCTCAGTGTTTTGAGCTGATATATCTATGGGAGGGCTTTAGCCTTTAGGGTTTCTGGAGAGTTACTTTTGCATATTTGACTTTTTGGGGTTTTTGATCCATAAAGCTTCTTCCATCTGTGAACATAGTCAGATCAGAACCTTCCAAAGACTGTTCAACTAGTTAAGTCTTTTGGAACAGACTTTGTTGGTGATTTGGATAAGGTTATGAATAGACTCTTCTACTGAGTTGAGGGTTAAAGTAGTGGATTTAAAGTAGACACTGCATTTATTTTTACATTTGCATTGTCCAGTGAATTAGACTGATGACTGCTCTATTCCAAAGGGAACTAATACTTTCTCCTTTCATTCAAAGGATGCACAATGTGGTGTCTGTGTGTGTATACTATATCCTTTCATTCAAAGGTTGCACAATGTGGTGTGTGTGTATACTATATATATATTATATGTGTGTATATATAATATATATAATATATACATACATAATATATATTTCTCTTGTTCTGCCAAGCACCTGTGTGAAAAAAAACTTAACCTATCTCTGTTAGAGTGTCTCCCCACTCAAACTAAATGCCCTGCTAAGTATGAGAGGGAGTCACCATTGCTTCCCGCTCTTAAAGTGAGAGACCCAATGCTTCACAAAGAGGAGTAGCAGCAGGAGCTGTGAGAGGATTCAAGTATAAAGTGATCATTCAAGTATAAAAGTGATCATTCAGTCTGACTTCATTAAGCATGATACACTCTAGTTCTA